TGTTTTATCATTCAAAATGGAAAATTTTTATGCGGAAGAGTATCAATACCATCAATATGATGATGACGACAATAGTAGTATGATGTTGATGATAATTTTACATGTGAATGAATAAACACTTCTAATAAAAGGTCCAATAGTTCATTGGCTTCAAGTTCCAATGATTTAAGCGGTGGTTCCAGAAGATCTTTAAAAAAAACGAATCGTAACACATAGTTTTATGTGGAAGCATTTTGAAAAAGTGAAAGATTCAAATGGAAATTAACTCGTAATTTGCAAATTAAAAAAAAAAAACGAATTATTATTTATAAAAAAAAAATTTAGTCGACTAAATAAATCTTTGACCAACTAGTAGTCAACTAAGGATTTTTGGACGATTCCAACCTCTGATTAATTTAGTAAACCAATTTATTTAGCAGATCTTGATTTAAAGTATTTTGGGGTTTAACGGGTAAAATTTCTATTATTACTTTTATCTTGATTTAACTGATTTTTCATACTAATATATTTTATTTGCCGGATATTATTAATATTTTTAATTATAATTAATATGTCCGTTCATAATAAATATATTAATATATATATTAAAAATATGTTAATGACGATCATTGTTATTTTAACTAGTGTGTATTGATTTTCAAGTGTCAAAAAAAATTGCATTAACAGATGACCGTGCATGTATTGTTACATTATCCCTGATTCCACAAATATTAACCCAAGAAGAATCAGAAGCAATAATCAACCAAGAGATCTGTTCAAAATTTCACCATTGACTATTCTCACTTAACATTAGGAATAACGTTTGTAAGGTCACAAATATTAATTTCAATGATGCGATTTGGATCTTTTCAACTCTGAATACCTATAGTTTTGGGTCAACTGGTGACGTTGATGTTGATAGTAATATATAGTAATAAGATGAATGGACATGTCGACATGTTTGCAACAGTTTTGTTTCAAGATTATTATTCTTCTAGGAGTATTTGAAGCTTCTTGGAGAAAGTATAAACTAGGCAATTTTGAAACAGTGTCATGAAGATTATTATTGTTTGTTTGTGCAAAGTGAGTCAATTATCATAAAAAAAAAATTTGGTCGACTAAAGAAATTTTTGACCAACTAGTAGCCGACTAAGGATTTTTGGACGATTCCAACCTCTGATTAATTTAGTAAACCAATTTATTTAGCAGATCTTGATTTAAAGTATTTTGGGGTTTAACGGGTAAAATTTCTATTATTACTTTTATCTTGATTTAACTGATTTTTCATACTAATATATTTTATTTGCCGGATATTATTAATATTTTTAATTATAATTAATATGTCCGTTCATAATAAATATATTAATATATATATTAAAAATATGTTAATGACGATCATTGTTATTTTAACTCAAGGCTCATTTAGCTAACGAATTGATCCATTAGAGAATCGATTTATTTTCGGAATAGTAAATGAAGAAGCACTTCAAACAATCAGAAAAAAAAATCATCAATTATCAGATGATTCTACAGACCCTGAAGAAAGTCACGGAACCAACAATAAACATGAAGAAGCTGCAATTTCTACCAACACTTTGCATACAAAAAGGAAGTACCCAGTTAGATATATGTAAAAAAAGCGTTTTAAAAATTTGGTTTTAATTGAATTTCGTCATTTCCTCGCATATGCCGAGAATATTCATCATTTGTCGACATTCCAAAAATATTTTCGGCAACCAAATCTTGAACTTCATAGACATTTGTTCGGCATATCTTTTTTTCTGAATGTTAAATCATTTTCGAGAGGAATGGCCCCAGATAAATTAATTTAGAGGTTGGAATCGACTAAAATAGTCGACTAAATAATCGATTAAAATAGTCGATTATCTTAGTCGACTAAATAGTCAACTATTTTAATCGATTATTTAGTCGACTACTAATAATACTACTAATAATACTAATACTAATACTAATACTAATACTAATACTAATATTATTATTGTCTGACCAATTACGATTTTTGTGTTTTATCATTCAAAATGGAAAATTTTTATGCGGAAGAGTATCAATACCATCAATATGATGATGACGACAATAGTAGTATGATGTTGATGATAATTTTACATGTGAATGAATAAACACTTCTAATAAAAGGTCCAATAGTTCATTGGCTTCAAGTTCCAATGATTTAAGCGGTGGTTCCAGAAGATCTTTAAAAAAAACGAATCGTAACACATAGTTTTATGTGGAAGCATTTTGAAAAAGTGAAAGATTCAAATGGAAATTAACTCGTAATTTGCAAATTAAAAAAAAAAAACGAATTATTATTTATAAAAAAAAAATTTAGTCGACTAAATAAATCTTTGACCAACTAGTAGTCAACTAAGGATTTTTGGACGATTCCAACCTCTGATTAATTTAGTAAACCAATTTATTTAGCAGATCTTGATTTAAAGTATTTTGGGGTTTAACGGGTAAAATTTCTATTATTACTTTTATCTTGATTTAACTGATTTTTCATACTAATATATTTTATTTGCCGGATATTATTAATATTTTTAATTATAATTAATATGTCCGTTCATAATAAATATATTAATATATATATTAAAAATATGTTAATGACGATCATTGTTATTTTAACTAGTGTGTATTGATTTTCAAGTGTCAAAAAAAATTGCATTAACAGATGACCGTGCATGTATTGTTACATTATCCCTGATTCCACAAATATTAACCCATGTTCACTTTACCTGCCCCAAATTAAATTTGGAAATGAGCTTCATAATCTATTCTAGAAAATACTAACTAGAGAGAGAGACCTGCTCTATCGATTACAAGATTATTGTTTTTTAAAAAATATTAATATTTATTTATTAAACAGAAAAAATCAACTTTCAATATAATGATTTTTTCATTTTAGCTAAATAAGTTTATTGGTAAAAAACAATCGCATTTTTATTTTTGTCTTTTGGTAGTTGTTTTTGTGGCAAAAGCTGAAAATTTATGTTTGTTGTATAACTAACTTTCTATAAAGTGCGTAAATTTGGACACCAAATCATTATCCATGCGTTTCGATCAAGACATATAAGTGCGCACTCGTATCCATGGAAAATTAGATATATGCACGTTATGGTCTTTTCGGTTCTTTTGACTTTTTTTGGCCTTTTTATTCTTGTCTATTTTATTATTTTTTTCCTTTTTTAATGGTGGTGTTAAAAGTTGTAAAGTGATAGCAGATGAATAAGAAATATGGAGTGCTAGTTTGAAAGCGTTCATGCTTAATAATATTAAGCCATTTATTTTTTTGACAAAGCGTTAATTTCAACAAAAATAATATAACATTAAACCTGTTTACTAGTTGTACAATGCAGGTATGATCTATGCGGGAAATTATGCAATAAATACATTATTATTATGTATGCAATTTTAATATTAACTATGCACCAAAATGGATTTAATTTTCAATAATCATTTAATTACAACCACTGTAGAGCTTTAAATAACTTTCCTTAATATTAATTGTAAAGGATTAAATATTTGACACGCCTTAAAAAAATTCTCAACCAGATAGAACCCTGAAATTGTAATAATTTTTCAAGTCCTCAATAACTTGAATAGACTATTTGTTGATGATTGTATCGTTGATTACATCAGCTCTATAAACAAACATTTGGATCCGTTTTAATTGATTTCCTTTTTAATATGTGATGCAATATTTATTTCATTGTGCATAATAGAACTAGGATGACCCCAAAAATTCATGCATGCATTTTATTATTATAGTATGTCTTACAATAAGAATCATCTATATAGTTCCAGATAAGTAATACAAAGTTGGGACGTGTAACGTGATACCTTCATTCCCCACACTGGATTTTCGACATCCACAAAAACTATTAAATGATAAGAATTAAAATGAACTGACTGATTGATCCAACCAAGTTTTAAATATATTTTCATTTTCCCAATACAATTTCAAAAAAATTTTTTTTTATTTTGAATCTTTTGAATCAATAAATAATGGCCGATTTTGTAAAGTTGTCGATTTTCGGAACTGTTTTTGAAGTTACTACAAGGTGCTTTAATTTTTTTATTATTGGTGCATTTTTCAAATAGTGAACATGTAAAGTAAACCTTTTTAAAAAATGTTTTAGATATGTGGATCTTCAACCAGTTGGCATGGGTGCATTTGGTTTGGTTTGGTAGGTTTGAAAAGTTTATATTTTACGCAAAGTAACGCGATACTTTAAATTTAATAAATAATCTTCAATAATTATATTTTAGTTCGGCAAAAGACCAACTGACTGGAGCCAGTGTTGCCATTAAGAAAATAATGAAGCCTTTTAGTACGCCTGTTCTTTCAAAAAGGACTTATCGTGAATTAAAGTTACTCAAGCATCTAAAACATGAAAATGTGATTATTGTTTTTTATTACTAAATTCTTCAATTATCTTGATCTAATAACTAATTTATTTATTTCTAAATTGTTAATAAATGACAGATTATTAGCTTGAGTGATATTTTTATTTCTCCATTAGAAGATATGTATGTATGTGTAAATTAAATTATAAAAGAAAAATGATCTTATTTATAATGCTTTGTTTTTAAAATTAACAATTGATATTTAAAACAATGTATATATAATATAAAATATCATATATATATTAACTAGATATTTTGTTACTGAATTATTGGGAACAGATTTGCATCGATTGTTGACTTCACGTCCATTGGAGAAACAATTTATTCAATATTTCTTATATCAAATATTAGTAAGATTTTAAAATTATTAAATTTTTTTTTATGATATTTTGTTTTTATATATATATTTATTTATTTATTTATTTATTTATATAGCGTGGTTTAAAATATGTTCATTCGGCTGGCGTAGTTCACAGAGATTTGGTTTGTAACAAGAAGAAGAAGAATAAAATTTTCCTAGAATAATTTATTCTTTGATATTTTTTTAAGAACAAGGATTAATTCTAATTGATGACCATGTTATTATAATATTTTATTTATTCGTTTTAGAAACCAAGTAACATTTTAATTAATGAAAATTGTGACTTGAAGGTATTTATGAAATATATTTAGTTATTTAATTACAACATAAACCTTTATAAATATAAATATTTTATTTTTTGTAAAGATCTGTGACTTTGGTCTGGCTCGCATTCAAGATCCACAAATGACTGGTTATGTCTCAACCAGATACTATCGAGCTCCTGAAATCATGTTAACATGGCAAAAATATGATGTAGCAGGTAATGAAATAACACATCGTACCATCATATCATATATCATATATCATTATTCATTATTCATTATTTATTTAAATAATTGATCCTTTATATTATATAGTGGATATTTGGAGTGCTGGTTGTATTTTTGCAGAAATGTTAGAGGGAAAACCTTTATTTCCCGGGAAAGATCGTAAGTTAAATATTTTAATTCGTTAAAAAAAATTTATTGAAAATTATTATTAAATTTTATCGCTATTTATTATAAGATGTAAATCAATTTTCAATTATTACCGAATTACTTGGTACACCACCAGAGGATGTAATCAAAACAATCTGCAGTGAAAACGTATTTATTACTCATTCATTCATTAATTCTTGACTTTCTTCTAATTTAAAAAATTAATCGTTATTTGTTTTATTTTTCGATTGATAGACTTTAAGATTTGTACTTTCATTACCACAGAGAGAAAAAGTTCCATTCTCTGAAAAGTTTACGAATGCCGATCCTGATGGTAATATATAATTTTTTAAATTCATACATGCACGTACACACGCTTAAATTATAAATAATAATAACAGTTTATAATGATTTTTAAAGCATTGGATTTACTTGAAAAAATGCTTGTGTTTGATCCAATAAAACGTATTAATGCCGAACAAGCTCTATCTCATAAATACTTGGAACAGTATCATGATGAATCAGATGAACCAATTGCTGACGAAGTATTTGATTGGTCATTTAATGATGCGGACCTTCCCATTGATGATTGGAAAGTTAGAATGTATCAAGAAATTTTAGGTATTTATTGTATTTATTTATTTATTCAAAGAATTGTTGTTTTGACTTTAAAATCTTTTATTTTTTTATTTATTAATTAACAATATTTTTGATTATTATAAAAGATTTTCATAAAGTTGATAGTCTAAGTTATAAAGAGAATACAGAAGTCCAACAAATTTATAATAAAGATTTGTTCCCCTAAAAAGAAAAAATTTAATAGTTATAATTTTTAAATTTTTTATAGCTTTATAATATATTAATTTTAAATTATTAATATTTCTATATTTATTCTTTTTAAAAAAAAACGGCGTAAATAAAATATATATATATATTTACTATAGTGATAATATTTAAACAAGTTTTTTTGTTTCAAAGAATTTCTTCAAATGTCGCATTTGCCATAAACACGTAATTCCAAGAACTGTCAATTGAACTAAAGTCCAATATAATACTCTTGAATTTGTAAGTTCTGATTGGTCTCTAAATTCTACCTCACGTTCCTAAATTAAAATTTATGTGATTTTAGTATATAAAACTATAATTATTATTATTATTATTATTATTATGAATATAAATAATAATAATAAAAATAATAATAATAATAATCTTTACTTACTCGTTGATAACTCTGTTCTCTTCTAATTTCGGTGATACGATTGTTTAGATCATGAACTCTCTGAGCGAGACCTGAATAATTAAAATGATTTTTTATATTATTATGAATTACAACAAATAATCATCAAACAATTTTTTTCCACCTACCACTAAAATGTTCTTGATCATTCTCCTCATAATCAGTTGCATCACCAACCGCCATGTCTAAATGTAATTTCTGTTGTTTATTTAAAATTTACAAACCAAATTATATATATAAGTTCTCTTTATTTTTTTTTTTTATAAAAATTTTGTGGAAAAAAAGGAAACAATAAAACAAACCGTTTGAGAAGTTGAAAACCAATGGCTTGAATTTGTTTGTAAACATATGGCATGATCACCTGATCCCGATGCAGTAAAAGTAAAACGACCTTTACTTGAACCTCTTTGATTTACAATGCGATGATTGAGTGGTAATTCCTGAATTAATTATTAAATAGCATGTATGCATGTATATATATATGTATATATATATATATATATATAAATTGATCAATTTGGATCATTAAATTGTTTTTTGTGTGTAAACTTATATTTACCTCTACAGTTATTTGAATTCCGATGTTTGAGTTCTCAATATATTGTTGTTGTGCATCAGACCATTCTTCTGCCTTATAAGTACCTAAAACAACCCAATTTTTCATATAAATATAAACGTAATTATAATGATTACTTTTTAAATTTGAATAAAAAAATTTAAAAGTTAAATTTGCAAACGAACCTACAACAAGCGTATCCTTTGGTAGTTCTTCAATGAAACATTTTTGCTCACTTCCCTCAAGATAAAAGTATAATGGTGAGCTTGACCTTATAAATAAGATTGTAAAGATGAAAAAGATTGTGGTGAAAGAAACTAGTTTTTTTTTAAATGATATAATGTTTTGGTTTCTCAACATGATTTTTTTTTTTTTTAATTTTTTTTTCTTTAAAAAAATCTTAATGATGTTCGTGTAACATAAATATTATTAAAATTTTTGATCATCGTGGTCAAATTGGGAAAGTCGCGTGTCATATCAATGCAACACTATCATCGTCATTTGTTGTATAAATTATTTTTTTTGATCTAAAAAATCAAAAAAAAAATAATTAAAGAATGAGCAACAACATATCGGAAGAAAATATTGATTTTGTACATACTCCCTCACCCTCCCTCCTTTGTCCAGTGTTAGTATACAAGAAAGGAAAACTCATTAACAACATTGCCTAAATTTATTAATTAAAAAAAATTTATTGCAGTTGTCATGATACTTGTAAAGAGCCTTTAATCACAAGAGCCTGTAGTCACTCATTTTGTGCTGCATGTATATATCAAAGTTTAGAAGTGGAACCTTATTGTCCACTCTGTCGCTGCCGCTTAAAGGTTGATGGTTTGTGCCATTTAATTTATTAAAATTAATTAATTTATCACTTTTTATTTTAAATATATATATATATATATATATATATTTCAGATCTTCACCCTAATCTTGCGGTTGCTGGATTGATTCAAGAACTTTTAGTTTATTGTCCAAACAAACAATACGGTTGTCCAACGACAATTTGTCTAGATTCATATGAGCATCACTTCATGCATTGTAAATATAGACCAGCCGATTGTCAGAACGCTCAATGGGGGTGTGATTTTAAAGGTAGAGATATTAAATCTAATAATAATAATGATTATAATAATAAATGATTAATTAATAGATTGAAATATATCATTGATGTTGAAGATTTGATTAGATTATTAAATATTATTATTATCATCGCCATCATTACCATTTTAGGTACAATTCAAAATATCAAAGATCATCTAGAGAACTGTATATTTGAAAAATTCAAGAATTATATTATAAGTAATAATGATAGAATTGGAAAATTGGAAAATATTATAATGGTATATACGTTAGTTTTTTTTTTAAAAGGAAAAGATCTTGTAGAGTTTCATATAATTTTAGAGATATAAATAACTATATATATATACACACATATACGCATAGGTAACCTTTTTTATATATATGTATGATCTATATGCAAATTAATTAGGAACAACAACGAGAATTAAAAAAACTACAAAATATTATATCAAAAATGACGGTAAAATATCAGATATTATCTCCACATGTATTATTTTTTTAAAAAAATCAAAAATAACTTACATAATTATTAATGATAGACGTCATCATCAAAAGGCTTGAATTATTTAAATGGAAATGGAATTGATTATGATTCGGTGGAAGAAGATGATGGCTCGAGAAAAGACGTATGTTAAATATTGAGTATACGATCATTGTTTTTAATAAATGTTTGAAAAATTTTTAACGTAATTTAAATAATTTAAATAAGGACTTCCCGCTTGGTGATGTCGTTTGTCAAAAAACTATATCAGAACACACTTGTGGAGTGACATCGCTGGCTTATAATAATGAATTGATATATTCAGGGGCTCATGATGGATCGACCAAGGTTCTTTTATATCAAATATATATATATATACACGCCTATAATATTTTAATGTAATTAGTTTTGTAAATAATTACATATACGGATTTCTACGGGTCATTGACACATAAATCCTCATCAAATAATAAATCTATATATATTAGATTTTTAAAGCAGATACTGGTCAATTACTAAAAAATTTACATGGCCATCGAATGTCAGTCTGGGCTTTAGCAGCTTATCCAGTGAACGAAAGATTTTTTAGTGCAGGTTCAGATGGTACAATAAAGGTTATTATAATAGAATATTTTCCTAACAAAAAAAAATATATTATTTATTATTATTATTATTATTATTATTATTGATTCAGATTAATTTTAAAATTTTTTTTGGGTAGGTGTGGGATTGGAAGGATGATAGATCAAATAATTGTGTTGATGTTTTAACCCAACATAGCGGTAAAATCTATGGCTTAGTTATTAACAATAATCGACTTTATTCTGCCTCATCAGATAAAACTGTAAAAGTATGGGATCCTACAACATTGGAAAACCTTGCAACTTTTACTGGTCATCAAGATGGTGTAAATAATTTGATAGCTATGGACAATAATAAATTGGCTACTGCTGGAAGTGATCATACAGTAAAGGTTAAAAAACCATTAATTTTTTTTTAGAAAAAACAATTGTTGATCAAGCTTTGAATTTTATTAATAATATTGCTCTTTTCCCTTTCATCTTTAGATTTGGGACGTAAATACAGGAACATGTATAAAAACCATTTCTTCACATTCATCGGAAGTTTTAGATGTTGCGTCTGGTGATAATCTTTTATTTGCATCAACGTATGAGGCCGTTATTCATGTATATAATTTAAAAGATTATTCACCTGTCAAAACATTATCTGGTCATAATTGGGAGGTTTGGCAATTGGTATATACAGATGGTGCATTATTTAGTGCAAGTTTTGATCATACAATAAAAAGATGGGATGTAAGGAATGGTTTAGTATGTAATGCTACGTTAAAAGGACATAAAGGTACAATTTAATTTTCTATATATATACATTTATTTGTTTATTTATTTGAGAAGAAAATCATAATAATTGACTTTATCTTATTTTATTTATATTATTAACAAATAAAAAAAATCGGTAGGGTTTGTACATGCAATGACTTTAGGAAATCATGACTTAATAACTGGATGTGCAGATAAAACTATAAAGGTATTATTTATATATACATATACATATGTATCTATATTAATTCTTTCAATATAAATATAAACTGACTTTCTTTCTTTCTTGATAATCTAGATTTGGAAGTAGCAATATATAATTTATTTTTCATACCATCCTTTTTTTTTAATTATTTTAATAAATAAAAACCTTCGATTTTGTGTGTAACAATTAAATTAACCAATTAAAAAAATCATGTATATCACTTTTTTAACGAATAAATTTCTGCCAATTTTACTCTCAAAATTATGGACAAGAGTAATAATAAAACTAAATCTGGATATGGTATTGTAAAGAGGTTATGGACAACATATCAAAAAGATACACCACAAAGTCTTAAACTTATTGACGCATATTTAGTATATATAATGTTGTCGGGAATCATTCAATTTGTTTATTGTATCTTGGCAGGAACTTATCCATATAATGCATTTCTTGCAGGTTTTATTTCAACTATTGGAAGTTTTTGTTCAGCAGGTAATAATAATAATAATAAGTTTCTTGTTTAAGAAACAAAAAAATCAATTGATTTGAATTTATTGATTAATGATAATGATTAGTGAGTTTACGTGTACAAACCAATCCTAAAAACATTAATGAATTCAAAGGAATTACACCAGAAAGGTAACATCTTTTTATTATTAAAAAATTTACATTTTATAATGATTCTTTTTCAATAAACTTGGATCTAATCAATTGTTTGTTATCATTATTATCAGAGCATTTATAGATTTTATTATATATAATATTTTATTACATTTTTTTGTGGTAAATTTTATTGGTTAAAAGAAGATTAGATTGAGACAAACTGATAATAGATTATATAAAGAAATTTCAGGATTGGGATGTGGCTAATTTGGTTTTAAATATGGCCTGCTTTACCGATTTTAGTAACAATTAATAATTTTTTGTTTATTATTTAAAATTTTTTAAGCAAATTTTTTAAAAATATAGCCATGTTTCCTATCCTATTTGTTTAGATGTTTATTTTAACATTACGTATACAATTTATTAATTATTAAAGCCTTCCCACATTTATTATATACAATAGTTGCTCGGTTAATAAATTTCATCATCAATTTTGTAAAAAATTTTTTGACATATTCCACAAATGGTTGTCGGACAAAGAATGGTGCCGGAATCGGGAAAAGTATTAACATGAAAAAAAGTAAACGTGAATGATGTAATGCCTTTATCTGGAGTGTTTTTACGTTATAGTGTTACAACAAATAATGGACGGATAAAGGATATATATAGCACATGTATGTGTGTATCGATATCCATATCCATATATGAATGCATTATTTTTTAATATAATAATCCTCTGTTTGATTTCCCATTTTAAAAAAGATTCCTAATGGAAAGGGATTATGGATAAAAGAAGAAAATGAATTGTATGATATTAGTTGTATAATGAAATTATTGTTAATTATCTTATTAGCTTTCCTGGTAGTCCACTTCTATTTTTTGCCATTTGGTTGAAAATTACTTTTAATCACATGAAGTTATTTTACGGTTACAATTAATAATATTGGGTAACATAAACAATGTAAAATTTTAGGGGAGAATCGAGAATTTGACATAATCCACATTGTTTTAATCTAATTGTTAACAACTTTGTCTATTGTTAAATAATAAAAGTCTTGTATTACCTAATAATATAAAAAATAATAAAATAAATAAAAGAAATTGTTTCTATAAACTTATTTACCCATCTTTCCAAATTTTTATCCATGCTACTTATTTCGTCATCCATCTCATTCACGTAATCATTATCACACTTTCGCATAGTCATATTCAAATCTAACCTCACTCATACATTTATTTATTTTTACATCCGATATCAAACATTTGATATTTTTTGTGCGACATTATTCTCTGGTTATAAAGAAATTTCATCTAGCCTACTAACCATCGAAATTAATTGGAAAAGATGAGGGAAAGATAATAGGTTAACGAATGAGATCAATAAATGGAATAAAGAATACAAATATATTATTATTATTACCGTTATAATAAATGATTAAATTATTTTTAGTTACAACACAATGAACATAATCTCAAAAGTTATAATTGACAATGAAAAATTTTTTTTTTGTTGAAGAACAAAAAATTCATCGATTTTTATATGCCAAATTAGATAATTTTTCAATTTAATTCCGATAAATTTCCGTATATATATATTTTTTTAAATTCACACTATACTTTTTAAACAAGTTCAATTATTAATAAAAAAACT